CCCCAAAACCCCAAAACCCCAAAACCCCAAATATCTGGAATATCATTGAATTAAATAAATGAGTTTATGTTATTTAACAACAATGACTTCTTTGTACGCTTATTTTCTAATATTTTAGTACTGAGTTTTACCTCTTTCACTATTAAGTCGTAATTTCTTCTTTGTGTTTAGAGATTTGTTAGGTGAGCTCTTTATTTTCATATTTTTGACCGAAAGTTTGGTTTTAACTTGCTCGATTATTCATTTTCTTTTGACCTCTTCTATTTTTAAATCTCTCATCTTTATCTGAGATTTAATTTTGAGCATTGCTGAACCTAAATGATTGAGTATTTTAATTGTAAGATATTAAGCAAAGGAAAAGCATGAGCTGTATTTCATTAAACTTTTATGTTGTGTGCTTAATATTGCAATTAGCTTATTTTCTAAAACATTGTGACTTTGCCTAGATGACAAAGCTGGTAGACTTTATCAATCCAGAAGCAAAAGTTGGAATTAGCCTGCATAAAGCAAGCTGAAGGTCGGTTTTTGAACCTTGAGGATCTGCACTACTTACTTGTGTTCGGAGTCTGACTAACTTTCTTTGACTCCTTAATGCCTTTCTTCCCAAACTCTGTTGGAGTCTGAGAATAACTGATGCTAGGATTCATAGGAGCCAAAGATGAGAAAGTTAATTTAGGTCTCAAGCTATTACGCAGGTGCTATAGGTTTGAGGCAGAAGTACTAAGTAATCAGAATTATCCTGAGCAGGGTAGTATCGAATAAAATCTTTTCCGTGATTCACTCCTAAAAGCAAAGTTGTTTTCCTAAATAATCAGAAGAGGATAATACCTGGCTCCTAGTCTTGATTTAGCCTTAGGGATAAGAGAATGGTTTAACTTAGTATTTGCATTGAGCTTTCTAACCTCATCGTGAAAATTAAACTGAGAAGTAATTCTATCGTTGTTCTTTTTGGTATAGTTAAAGACATCATAATCCATTTTGGTCAACCTGACATTTTTGAATTTGATGTTGGTATTCTATGAGATTATTTGTTGAAATAACCTTTACGCTCTTATTTCCTTCAAAATTTCTTTTAAAAAGCTGAAGTCTTTGTTGCTAGATGTTAAGCATGTAACTTTACATGAAATTAGCTGAAAGAAATTATCTGAGCTTGAGCCATGAGACTGTTTAGGAGTAGCAATATTTAATCAATTTTTATTCAAGTTAAGCTTTTTCTTTTTCTTTCTAATGTATTAACAATTTCACGTTACTTTTTGGGTAATTCCTAGAAGTTTAATAATATTAGATACCTCATTGATGTTGCTTAAAGCCATTTTGAACACTTTATCATCTTCTTTTAAGACTGCAAAAGTTATGACATCATAAGTGAATAGAGTAAAACTAACTCAAACATAAAAATGAGCAGATAAATTGGACAGGATAAAATTTAATTTTTGAAAAAATTTAAGTTTTATTGACAAAATTTTGATTCATCAAATATTAAACCAGCTATTAATAAGCACCCTCAGATTTCTATATAGATTCATTTATTTTAAAGTAAATTTCTAAACTTTCCAAATATTTGCACCCAAACTCCAAGGCTTCTCCATCCCAATTCCATGTGAAGCTTACCAAAATCCGAGAGTCCTTTCCATCGGCCTCGGTTTTTGCCCTGCTTGATCTCCCAGTTGTTTTTCTTGAGCTTATTTTCCCATCGAGGAGAGCTATCACAGTGATAATCACTATGCTGGCTCTCTTCAGTAGGACTTATGTATTTATTTTAAACTTAATTCTCTGTTATAAGGCTTTAAGAATAGCCTCAGCTTGTCCTGGATCCTCTCATTGGGAACAACACTGTAGTTTAGCTTATGCTTCACCACTCAAAACCTAAATATGTTCGCCTAGAGTTTACTGAGATGTACTGCTCAGCTTTTTAGATGACACTCGCTTTGGGCATTTCTTCAGACTTGATGGATCGGGCTGAGAGTCAGCTTCAGCATCTATATATAAGAGTCTTATGGTAAGCATACCTTTGAGTGACCACGCTCGTTTACTCTTCATTTTAATTAAACTTATTCTATAAATTTGTGAATTTGTGGGGTTTTGGGGTTTTGGGGTTTTGGGG